GGGTAGAGTAAATGGTAGAGTACCATTTGGGAACTTGGTCGTCTGAGATGTTCCGTACAGTAGGAAGAGTTCCCCACACCGGTGGAATGAGAAACCCCGGGCTGTTTTCTTTGGGAAGAGAGAGAGACAGTAGAATGAATGGACAGAGACACGGTAGGACAGGCGCAGAGGGCGTCTACAGGAATCGTGTTCTGTCGGCGTGGTTTCTCTCTCTTCCCCGCGTGTGAAGAGAAAACATTAATGCAAAAAGGCAATTCGAAAGAAAAACAATAAAGTATAAGTTTATGTGTCACTGAGTAACCCGTCGCCTCCCCTCCCCCTCTTCCCTGGACAGGAAATATCAAGCGTTTCTCGCGTTCACCCCCTTCCCCGTTCCTTACTCCCCTCCCTTGGAATGATAGCGCTACACCGCTTTCAAACTGCGTGCCCCCTCCCCCAATCCGTCCTACGATTGGCTATGCTGTACCAGTCTGCACCGCGTACTCCCCCTCCTTCTCTTCGCCCTCCTTCCTTCCCCCCTTCTTCTTGGGCGTGCGCGGTGAAGAGGGTTCCTCGTTCACCCCGTGAGCATCAAGCCAGTCCTTGAGGTCGTTGCGGGCGTACCGATCCTCGCCCTCGAACATCTCCTCGTCAGCTATGAAGCACTGAAGGATCGTGAGCGTTGTCTGTTGTTTGGCATAAGAAAGTATGGTGCGAGTGTTTGAAGAGCGGAGGCCGGGATGGAGGGGGGGTAGCTTTGTAGCGGAACCCCCGCGGTGTGGTTCATTCGAAAACTTGTCGTTTGTGGTTGGTGTGTGTGGGTGCTCCGTGTCCTCGTTAGAAATAACTCACTGAAGGACCATCAATGATGACAGCTTGAACCCGCGAAGGTATGAAATGCCAAAGCTCTTCTTGCATAGCAGAGTGGTCAATGACGTAAAGACAGAAAGAAGACGAAGAATTAGAAAATCAACCAGATAAATATATACCACACGTACAAACGACAAGCAACAACCTACCATTCCAAGCAGAGCGGCGAACGAGGAGGCGACGTAGTACGCCATGACCCCGGCGAAGAAGACGGGGCCCATGGGGCTGTACAGATCTTCCTTCATGAACTTTTGCAGGAACACGTAAGTAACGCCCGCCGTCCCGAGACCGATCACCTGGGTGAGTTTCACACGGAAAATACACGTGGGAGTTATACAAAGCTGTAGGCGATTGTGAGGGTGGGAACTAGCAAAGAAGGGGATCAGGGGCGGATTGACCCACGGATAGGCTCCAGTGACCAAGGACCATGTGCGTCGCTTCCGTCGTCAACGCTAGTGTCGAGGGTGGGGGTATAGGATACAGGGGTAGGAGGAACCCAAACAATCGCGACTGAGCACGATCGAGGTGTTCAGGGGCAGGATGCGAGCAAAAGTCCTGCTTGCATGGTCTTTTGCTAGAAACATGATTCCACGAGTGAGTAAGTGATAGACCTCCCTAAACATCACGTATGCCGTGAGTGAGACATGTAGGCTGGGGTTGAGTGTGGAGGGAAGATTGGTCGCTTGAATTATCGCACGCGTGTGAAACTCGGGCGGCGTTGAGGGCAGCTGGGATCAAGGGGAACTGGGATGATCAGGATAATTTCCAGAGACTCCCCATCGATTTCAAGCCCTCTGCCATTCGCCAGGTGCGGTCAACGACGATGACTATCCCTTTCGCATGGTACTCCGGGTGTGTTGTCCGTATCGATTATCCAAGTCCTATCGTTGTGGGGGAGGGCTTTGCAAGAGCACCCACTTTGACGGCGCGACGCGCAGAGTGTACAATCTCGGTCGACGAGAACATTGGTCGAGGTTTTCGGGGTCCGAGCATAGCTCTGGCCCGTCGCACGACATTTCCGTAAACTTACCAGCTTCATGATGAAGACTACGAAGTCCGTGACGACGGTGACGGCACCGACACGTCCGAGGTTCCTGGCTATAAGCCAGAAGGCGTTCTTGGAGGACCGGCAGAAGGAAGTGCTGAATATCGCCACCTTGTTTCGCAAACGGAGAAAAGGACGGTGTAAAAGGTAGGCAGGTACCTCCTTCTTTACAGATGAGTGTCATCTGTCACTGTTTGTGGACGCTGCTTGTACAAAAACAAATTCTTTCGTGTTCAAAACGAAGCGCTAAAGACCACAGCCTGCGCGCTAAATGCCACAGATACCCGCGAATCTACTTATTCAACAATATTCAGTACAGCGAAGCATATGATTTGTGATTGACAGAAAATGAGACATCGTGCCTCCCACCAAGAGGATACTGCAGCGCGGAATGCCCAGCCAAATCATTGGGCTAGACGCAGCCCACCTTATCCTCGGATACAGGCCTGCTCGTTCATGGGTTAACCGTTCGTTTCTACGCATGAAAAAACTCAGGAGTTGCTCGGAAAAGCAACCCGCAAATCAGCCTATTCAGTCAAGCAATGTTTTGCACCGATGAAGGCTTCACACACCGACTTCGCGTCCCACACAGACGACGTACCAATCTCCACGCCTATACCTGGATGTAGGCGTTCTTGTTGATGAACCTGACGCACTTCTCGAGGCACCAGAAGAAGCACGAGAGGCAGCACAGAACCGCCTGTGCGGCCTTGCTGCCCGACTTCTGGAGCTTCTTCTGCATGTACGTCAGCACCGCGCGTATTGTCTATTAGTTGTGCGCAAGATATTCATCCATCCATCCATCCATCCATCCGGCCATCCGCCGCCAGCAGCCAAGTGTCCGGCAAACGGTCGGCAACAACGAAGGACAGAGAAACAGAACGTGCAGCAAGGGTAAGATTTCCAGACTTTTCACTTTCCGGTGCTGCAGCAAGCCACCGCTTTGACATGCAAGCGTGCGGGTGTGTCATCTGTAGCGTAACGTCGACGTTTACGATCCTGGTCTTCTGCATGTTGGTGCAGCGCAATGCATCCGACAAACGAACGTGTTGACTTGAATTCATTTTCAAACTACGAAATCGAGTCTGAAGAACCTGGATTGGATTTTTCCCTCGGTTGCACCACCGTCTCTGCTCACGTTTGACGCTCATGGCAGCAGTGCCTAGATGAAAACTGCGACAAGGAACATTCGCAAATACAAGATGAGAGAGTAAATACTGCGAAAATCTGGTTTCCCTGTTCACCTTGATGATAGCGATGATGAGAGAACCAAACGCCGCCGTTCCCGTGTGAAACCTCAAACCCTCTTTCAGAGACTTCCAGAATGTGCCATTGTTTACCTTGAGGAAGGAGCAAATTTTAGGGAGATGAGAAAGGGAGGCATGGCAGCGAGACCGACAAATTGTCAACAGCGGTAAGTGGAGAAAGGGAGAGGCACTGGGTGATAGAGAAGCTAACCACGAAGGAGGTACAGAACATGGGCGAGGGGAGTTATGTAGACGGCGAGGCACAGAAAGGAAGGCAGAGAAAGGAGCGAAAGAAAAACGCATTCAGAGGGACAAAAAAACTAATTCAAACAACGAGGCTGTCTGTTGCTATGGCTCGATGTATGGGAAAGGAAGGGCTACTGTTGTTGTTACACCGTGTCGACATCCTCGGGAATTTGTCACCTTACACATGTTTCCCATGCCTCCCGAGTAATAATGTATCATTTCCGAGCCGTTCAAATGTCTTTCGCAGGAAGAACTTGTTTCGAGCAAGTGATCAATCTCACTTTCGAGCCGAACAACGGAAACTTGGGGGTCTCTGCTCTATGCCTCTATAATAGCGGAGGTTTCCTAGTCAGCAAAGGTTGTTGCAACTGATGCTGTGGTTTTTTCTCACCGTCTCGACATCTCTCGTGAAGTAGTACTTGACGACCGTAAGGGCCACGACGATCTGTCCCATGGCCACGACGAATTGCGTCGTCCAGAAAAACACGAAGAGGAGGTACCACCCCCGGTTCTCCACCTCGTCCGAGTATTCGAAACTCTTCACCGTCAGGCCTGCCACATCTTCTGTGGTGATCTTGGAAAAAAAATATAGCGACGAAAGTGTGAGGCAGGACATGTTTTAAGAGAATTTTTTGTGTGTGACAATTTTTCGTTTGTGTGGCACCTTGAAAAGCAAAATTTGCGCAAGACACATGACAGTCATGTACGTTATGCGCTGAAAACAGAAATACTGAAATTTTTCAGGGCGCATGACGGTCGTGTGCATGCACAGCCCGAAAGTCGGATTTTGCTTCATGTGACACGGAAACCTGGAATTCACAACAGCAGCTGCTTTGCTTGTACGGGAACATATACTTGGTGCGAGCCCCTTCTTTATTGTTTGTCTGGAACGCTAGAAACCTCTCACCGGCAACCTCTGTACACCTGACGTCGCCACCTCATAGATTGCCCAAAACCATCACAATATTTCCGAAGTAATACTGTATCGAAGTCTGATTCTACAACGTTTGACGAGTCTCACGTCCGCCATGGAAGCCGTGTAGACCGAATACACGACCCACGGCACGAGGAACGCCACTATCGCCGCGCACTGCAGCAACGGCATGAAGAACATCATCTTCACCGTCCCGATGGCGCGGACAGATTCCTGCCACACAAAAGCAAGAAAATTATCCGGCAATTTCCGAAAAAAAACAATGTGAGTTGGGCGCGTGCATGCATGTGAAATTCATTCGTACCACATCGGTTTCCTTGTTTTGTACTGCACGCTTCAACAGCATGAATATCTCGAGCGAGCAAACTAACGAAACAAGCGAAGGAAGGGCGAAAAACAGCCGGACGTACGCTGCGGCTCTGTTGGCTGAGGGGAAGGAGAGCATCATTTTCATCTTCCAAGAAGACGCAGAGCCACCCCTACAGCATAGCTTCAAGGCATGCAAACACACAAGGCAACGAACACTATCTCAAATCAAGATGCATGGGTCTGACTTACCTAAGACGAAAAACAAACACATCCGAAAGCACAAAAATCTAGACAGCATGGAACTTGAACGAGGCCTTTCCCGCGGTAGTACCAGCAACGAATCCGATGGAAGGAACAGCCGTCTGAACACTAGAAGGTTGCAAATCGACAATACACCGCAATAGACCTCAGTAGTTGAGACTCTCGGACGAGCCGACCTGTAAATCGAAGCGCGTTCACGTTCACCGTTTCAAGGGAGGGTGCCAAGACAACCACGTGGACTACCTTGATGATCCCGTTGGCAAGGGTGATCTGCTTCCTCAGGAACACGATGAGGCATAGGAACAGAAACGCGCATCCGTAAGCCAAATAGCCCGTCACCCGGCTGCCCATAACCTGGGCGTCTGTGTGCTCGCCGTCCCCCTCCCAGTCCTCCGCTGTGTAGCGAGCAATGGATTGCACGGGAAAAATGGAACTGCTGGTTGTTACCGGCGGCGGGGTTTTTGTTTTACCTGGTGGTTGTCATTTCAGCATTGCAGCTTGTTCCGCGTCGACCGTTCACCGGGAATCCTCAAAATAGGGGCTAGATTTGAGTTCTGTTGGCAAAGGGCGTGTCACCAAGTACGGCGAAAAACACCATGAACATCGAAATAAACAAGGCTGTGCTAGTTTTCATAGGCTTTAGTTCGACTCGCGAATTTGTTAAGAGAGCTCGCCGCTTCTTCGTTAGCAACAGGCAAGCGCGGCAAGGAGGGATTTACGTTGTCTGAGCAAGAACGGGTGGCTCGTTTCCATGGCCATCTGATATAGTAGAGGAATGAGTGAAACGACTTGTAAATGTAGGGATGATATTTTACCTGTTAGTTAGAAAGGAACGGTTTGTCAATAGTACTCTATACGGGTGAATGCTCTATTCAGGGTTGGCAACTCATGGAAGCATGGTGGTTTCCTCTTACATAGCGACACAAAGCCGAACCCCATTGCGACGAGGACGAAGAACACGCAAGCGATGCTCCCCCATATCATCATGCACACCAGTCCGGGTAGCTGGAGCATTCCGAGGTAGAAGAAGCCTAGGATCTGGAAAGCGACACGCGCGTTGGTGGTTGTCAGAACGGTTGCTGCCGCTGCGGCTTTTTCACTACCGGTGCTTCTATACCCGTCTTCATTTTCAATGCAAGACTCGATGTGGAAAGCCAGAATTGCAGCACAAGTGACAGGTAGATTCGAGACGAAAAGCTCCAGTATCTCCCGCCCGCTCCCAGGGAAATAACCTCCAAATAGCGGGAAAGAAAGTACCATCTGGTGCACCAACCAAAACCCACTTACCGTAGAAAAGCAGAAACCGAACCCGAGTATCCATCCACGTGCCGTGTAGACATCCGAAGCGGCCTCCTGCAGGTAGGCGACGTCCCCACCGACGTCGACGAACTTGTCCAGCACTTGCGGTTCGCTAAACACACAGCGACCGACAACTATAGGTAGCATACGCGCCCATGACCAGTCCCACCAAAACACCGCGCGCGTCGGGCAAATCGTGAGGAGGTGGTTTTCTTTTCGCAAGTTGACGACAAGTTTCAGCGGCCCGTCGGTACTGCGAAAAGGATGCAATGTCAGTTTTTTGTGGTGAAATGACTCCCAAAAACCAATGGGACAGAGACTAGTGATGGTACTTGACGTTGCTCAACACATACGATAATACTGGATAATAACATCAAAGCCAATCAGAGGCTCAACTTTGGCGGGACACCAACTATCCCCTTTTCAGTATACCGGTGAAGGCAGACAGCACGCAACAAACTCACAGTCGACGGACTCCACTTGGTACATGCAGACCCCCGCCCCGTCGCCGCCGCCGAAGCCCCCATCCTCGGCTCCCGTCGGGTCCACATCGGCCTTCGCCTCGCACTCCAGTGGATCGTCGGAGCAGTCGTAGCCTTCGTCCACCGTAAACCCCGAAAACTCGTCCGTGCACCCCCACAGGTGGTCGAAATTCGTAACCGTGGGGCACTCCTCAACGCAAACACCGGTCCCGTCGAACCGGATGTAGTATAGCTGTGAGACGTGGAGGGGGTAGGAGGAATAGTGGTACTCAGCATCATCGGGGCGATGTCGCTACGCCTGAGCGAAAATGGAGCTTGTGGATTAAAGCTGTAACTCATGCAAATGTGCTTGCTTTTATACTACTGGTCTCCATGCTTCTGCATCCGGCCATTTTTCAGGAAATCTTCGACCGCGTTTCCCCATACAAATGGTCTAAGTGTACCACGACTTTGGCGCGAAGTCCACCTCCGTTGAATAAGCTTTTGGTGCTTGTGGAGGGCTTGTAGGAGGAGCAGTCTACGGGGATGTGGGGATGTCATCTATCGAATCCATCGAAACGAACATAGATTTCAAATAGTAAATCCCGACTTCAGGTGCGTACCTTGTCCCTCGAAGGAAACAAACGGCAAAAAGACTGTCAACAAGCAATAATGCAACGGACTTGGTGTGTGAAATAACACAAGAACAATGAACAATTAACACAAAGTCGACGTCCTCCGACACATCCGACCATGGTAACACTTCCACACCCGGAGCACGTTGACGTAATACTGAAGATCTGACTTGACCAAACGTAACGATTGTCACCTTAGACTTGTCCTTGACACCATCGTCGACGCCGCAAATGCGGCCGTCGTAGTCGATCCCATTCAAGAGGAGGTCCGGGTTCCCGTTGGAGATGCCGTCCACGCCGAGGTAGGTCATGGCTAGCCACGCCAAGATCAGGACCAACATGAAAAGGACATCTGTGCACCGCCGATCGGCCCCTCCCTCAATGTCGTCCGGTGCTACGAGCTGTGTTGTTGATGGGCAAGCGCGAGCGATTCATAGCGATGCGGCGGAAAGAGGACTTGTAAAGGAGCACAAGCCGTAGGCAATAGTTTCCTGAGGAAAGGAAAGGAAAGGGAAAGGTGACGCTCTTGCTCCACGATCGTGTAGAAATGGGAGAGCTGCTTGTCATTGTTGAGAGCTAACAGCAACACTCCTTAACAACTACACTATTGCAGATGGACGACATGCACGGAAGGGATGTATCCATACAGGCGTAAACAACAACGTAAGAGGAGATTATTCGCCTCCGAGCGTTCCCAAGAACCGTTAGAACTGGGAAACCACCAGGGAGTGAACGACTTCCGTATGCCACCTGTGGGCATGGGAAGGGTCGAGGTGCTGCTGTGGCATTGTTCTCCTCGCGTCTCTCCTTGCCTGAGTTTCTTGAACAACAAGAATATACATCTGCCCCCAGTAACCGGGGAAAGCTACCCCTGCCCTGAGACCCTCCGGCTAAGTCGCCTCCGGAAGGAGCTGAAGTCGTGAGTAACAAGACTATACCCCTTATTGTGTGGGAGACCTTGAAGCCAAACATAATTCGTGTGTGTCCGTGAAATTGAAGAATGATGCTCAATTGTCACAAAAGTGACGTGCACGCATGGAAACCACAAGTCACATTGTCCTCTTTCACACACAAGCGCTTTCGTGACTTCGGCGAAACTGCTTTCTGCATCTCCCGGGCGCGGAGTCGGGTTGATTCCACCTGTATTGACGCGAGTGCAGATGGTAAAATATGCAACTGATCTTGCCGGGAGTGACTCTGTAAGAACCCCCAAAACTATCTCTCATAACCGAATTGTATCGAGCAATCACAGTCATGAACAGGGGAAGCAGAGGGATCGACCGTCATGCGATCGGTCTTCAGAGCTGCGGTTTGGTGCCGTTTGTGTGCGGACCTTGAGGGACAACCCTCGGAGGATTCAGATGATCCTGTCTGTGTGGTCTTAGAACCTACAACAATGTGAAAATTGGGGAATCGTCCTCGACAGACGTTGCGGAAAGGAGACCTTAATGCTGGTCACCTCAACATCCCCCCCTTTTGTAAGCGAATTCATTGGTGTCTTGACAGGAAGAAGGCTTCTCGGGGTAACCGAATCCTCTGCAAACGACCATTTCTCTTATCTCCGATTGGGTTTGGCCTCCAGTCTACATGCTATTCGATACTATAAGACCATTTGACCAGTCAGCGCTTTTTCGATAAATTTTCACCATCTGACCCGTCGGCTGACTGAGTGGTCTAGTGTTCAAAGCATTCTTACACACAAGGTTCAACGCACGGGTCCGAATCCCAGTGGCTCACTTACACAAGAATCACCATATATGTACCGATCAGCGTCTGGCAAGGGGTCCGGCCCCGGACATCGCTACACATTCACTAACACACATGTGATCCAGCCGGGTGTTAATGAGCTCTGAGTACATGCAAGGATCTTCTTGTGTCCAACTCCTTTTCATGTTGTCATGAATGGCGCTGACCGGTTGACAAATGAAAGGGCGTCCGTGGTCAGGGATAGAACGGCTCCTTACGAAAAAACAGTACATGAAGGGTATCGACTCAGGAGGTCTGGATCGCATCCACGTTGGGGTGTGTCCTGCATCGCAGGCAAGTTTAAGGCCAAACCGGGTGCACTAGCAGGCATGAATTCCAGAACGAGCGATACGCAGAACCTGTAGGGAGAGCCCAATGAAGGCACTTGCGATACAGCACGAAGGTGTGGAATTTCCAAACTGAACGATGTCGAAAAACTCAACATCACAACAGGAGAGAGAACCTTCCAGAACGGTCTAAAACTCCAGGATCGGAAAAATCGACTTGCTAACTGATACTTTTGGATTCAAGACAATTGTAGCCAAACTTAAAGATAAGTTTATGTATATATAGACTATATCCTGTCCATCCTTCAACATGAGTTGCGAGGTGAAATTCTTGTTGTACTCACGACAGTTCGCCTGTTCTTCACTGCTGCAAAAGGTGCCAACACACGTTTGTTTGCACACGAGGTGACGCTCTGTGAGGTAAATACATAGAGTTATCTGGTCTAGACTCGTAAATTAGCACTTGGACGTCAAGTGTTCAACTTCAGACAACTGAATTGGTTCACCAGCTACGTAGTGAATTTCTTGCGTTGAAAGTTGCATGCCTGTGTAGCGGCTCTTGCATGTAGTCATTGCAGGTGCCAAGAAGTTGAACAGGGCATCATATTTACTCTTCGTTGTAGCAGGAATTGATGCTGAAGCTACCGGTGCATCAAGACGGTCAAGCCAACAGTTTATCTCTGTTCTTACTACCGATGGCAAAAAAGTGGCACGTCTAGTCTACATAGTCTACGTACGACATGAGTCCGAGAGAGAAATCGTACATCGCCGACACGGTTCGCAGTGTTTTGGGGCGCATTTGGACTCCTGAGAAGCTGACAAACTTGAATGTTTCCGCCATTTTCCAGCAACGTATCCTTCAAGAGGCCTTGGCCGTTCCATTGCTGCTTAGGCTAGATCTCCGAAATTTCATTGTAAATTTATCGATACCTCGTGATTTGCATCAGCCACAGTTATTCGGTACCACTGCTGTATGTATCTGCTCACCACGTACATGTACAAATCCAAAGCACTTCATCAGTTGTTCGAAACGCGTAGCTTGTATATACGTGCGGACACCGATTCATGGACTTAGATGCTCTACTTGTAAAGATCAGGCACGAACAATTATTTCGGTATCATAGGAAGATCGAGACGTGGTCTACTCGGATGGCTTTTGTGTTTCGACCGAACCCACCTTCGCTCCTCGCTTTTCCTCCTCTTTCGGGGTTACGGAATTCGGGCCCATGGCTGCACACCCTGTGTTTTTGCTCCCTTTCCTTGCCACTGGAGTCTTGGGGTTCAGCTCAGCTCGGGCACCTGTCCGCTCTCCTCGCAGCTCTGTTGTGTCGCGTTGTCGGAGGTGGCACGGAAAAAGGAAAATAATTCTGACGGTTTCGCTCGAACTGGGGACTTCGCAGAAAATGTTGACATGTATAATATCATCTGCGCATCCCCTGAACCACCTACTGAGCACAGCTCACTGCGTTGGCTGCAGCTGCCGCCGATATACCACTGCACGAGGCTGGAGTAAAAGGCTATCTTGGGGCATGACGGGAGCGAGGTTGGGACGTGCAGTCCTTGCGTCTGGCGCAAGGGATTCTGCCGTTGCTTCCCTACCACGCCGAGCAGCAGGACTGGTGACGAGCAAGGGATGCAATGGAGTGCTCAGCAGAGTTCCTGCGGCTGCGAGTCAGTCGCTACGTACCAACGCTGCTAGGAGCGTAGGTGGCGGCCTAACTGGAGACAGCATGTGAGATGGCCCAGCTCACGAGGCCGCTTGTGTCGTTTTGGTGTTGACGGCGTCCTCTCCACACGCTATTGCGGTTGGTGGGTATCGTGGTGTGCGAATGCCAAAGAAGCGGGGTGATTCGTGATGTACACGCACTGGTTGGGTCAGAGCCCTCGAGGCTCCCGTCAAACACCCCCGTCAACAAGCTTGCTTTGCAAACAATGCTCATAAACACGACGACGCCCCCTCCAGCGTCTACTGTACAACTTGCCCGTTGGCTTGGTTCCAGTATTCGCTGAGCGTGCGGCGCGAAGCCTACCTGTTCACTGGCCAACTGCTATGATACAGCTACACTGCCTTTACCTCGCTTGCCGGATTCTTTCCAGAAGCACTCGCCACCGCCCACCCGCAACACCTGAACCTAATGACATAGTCTTATCCACGGCGGCGGGGAGTCAGTGCTTCGCTTGTTGCTAGCGGGGTAGTACATTTGTGGTGCATATTGTCAAGCACCGTACTACAGTAGTAGATGGGTTTACACGTATCCCATGTGCTGCTGTACAGCAGTAGACAAAGCTGCTTTGCACCACACCACACATTCAAAAAAGGGGACTGAGGCACTGGGAGCGAAGTCGGCGAACCCGCGGCGCATCAAAAAGGTTTTGTACGAAGTCGTCGCTCCCAAGTGCCCACAGAGAAAGGCTGTCGTAACGCGCAGGACCAGCTTGCAAGCTCTCGTAGAATCTCAATCCTAGAAGCAAGTGCCACTAGCTAGGCATATCACGAGTGCTTGGAGTACTGTACATCGCCCTATTTAGATCGAGATGTTCTGGCGCGAGGGGGGGGGGGGGGGGGGGG